AATGGCAATACTAACCATAAATACCATATGACCAACTCACCAATCTCCCGGGGTAAATATCGGAAAATCACCTTGGTATCATTGGCCACATGGAACCCCTTATGGTATCGACTGACAAATGTGACCATGCCATCCTCAATGAATATATTGCGGCGCTCTCGCTCACTGTTACGATGCCGGATGCTCATTAACTCGGGACCCCGGCTGGGTTGACCGGCACAAACATGGACGGCCACGCTTAACCGCTCACGGAACTGGCTCACCACTCGAAAAAACCGATCGATGGCGGGCATCCGGAACCCGGCCCCGTGGGACTGTACAAACTGACGCTGTAATCGGGGCTCGTGGCGGATACGCTCCATGAACCACGTCGGACCCTGGACCGGCCACGATGTACGTAAATCCTGTAAAAAACTCCATCCGGTGGCACTCTGCGTGGCATCATCGTACAAATGATCCCACGGGATGGCTGGGGGCGGGTGATCGGTGCAAAACATCAACTCGTGGACCAACTGCTGCCGTAACCGGCCAACCAACCCATGCACAAATCCGCGGAAATGGCCCATGGTAAAATGGATCTGTTTGTACAACAATTCATCTCCGGACTTCCACCCGATATGACCCTCGCTGGGGGTATTCATAAATATCGTCCGTCCGTACGTACGTAAATCTAACCACCACTGGACGGGGCCATTGGTCCCACGAACCATGAATAAATCCACCAAATATGTGACCCATTCGGGGAACGTTCGGTCGGGATGCTGGCGCTGCTCCTGTGTCAATGCTCCTAATATGTCATCGCTGGTGGGGGGGGAACTACGCATGGCCACCGGGGATGGGGGGGGCACTGCCATATCCTTCATCATCGTGGGCATATGCCTCATCGATGCCGATCATATCACCTTCAAACCATGGCGGGTTCTGCTGCCCGGCGAACCCACGACGGATCTCCGATGACCGGGGGTCTAACCGCAATGCTTTGTGCAAAATAAAAAACCGCGCGATCTTGATCAAACTGGATATCCGGGGGGGGAAATTCTCGGGCGTGGCCCAACCAAACTGCCCGCATCCAATCACGGCGGTGGCACAAATCATGGCACATCCATATTCATCGTTGCGGATCTTCTGGCGTAATAAATCGATGCAAAACGTTAATAATGCATGCTCGATGGGACGAATCTCGAATGGCTCGGGCTCATCATCCTCGGGGTCGGGACAACTGGCCTGGGCCTGGGCATGGCGCCACACGGCATCCCATAACTGCTGCTGTCGGGGGGGTAAATGAATACTTGGGTGATTCCCAATCATGTTCAATCTGGGATGGTGAATCAACCTGGGTGTCTGATATCGGGTACGGACGTGATCATACCTGGGTTCGTGCAAAAAACATCATAATCTGCTGCCACGGTGCCACATGCTTTTGAATGGCGGTGGCATCTAAATATGCCAATAATGGCTTATGTGGACTCTCGTCCTTCATCGTACGGACCACATCAATGCGTACTAAATGCCCGCACGCCTTGGCGATCTCCTGGCTCACCGATGCCAATCGCTCCATGGCCTCCCAAATGACCAATGCGATACGCTCTGGTCCCTCGGCATCCTCCTCGGGGCGCTGGGTACTCTCGAATAATGGCTGCCGGGGGGTCCCTTGTAAATACCGAACCCACCCCGTCCGATTCAACCATGGCGTGGCTTCATCTAACTCCCCGGCCTGGATGATGGTTTCATGGGCCTGTTGATCTTGCTGCTGATACTCCTCAACCATTTGCACTAACTGGTGAATCCGGTCGGGGTCTTCCACGGGGTCTATGGGGGGGCTCATTGGGATTGGGCTGCACAATATGAATATAATGTGAACCGGGGCCTTGGCTGAATATACGCTGACACGCAACGGCTCGGCTATTGGCGTTAATGGCGGCCTGGATGGCTTTTTCCTGTCTGGGTGTGGGACGACCACGGCTTTGCTGTACACGATACTGATGGGCCTCTATCCAATGTGCCTTCATCGTACGGATCTGGCGGCATGTATATACCTCACATTGCTGGCACAATAATCCATCCTGATAAACGGGTAACTCGGGGATGGGTTGATCAATCTGGCGGGGCCAACTATCCACCTCTGGGTGATCATCAATATGATCCCACTGCTGGATCACTCTGTCGATATACTGTACCCACGAAATGGGTATCCGATGTACGGTACTACTTAAATGGGCCTTGATCTGTCCCCGGCGTACGGCACATTGACATTTCTGGCAAATCAACACGCGAAATTCGGCATTGACACAAAATAATTCGTGGGCCTGGTATTCGGTGTCCATGTCGGATATGGAAATCTATATATCGGCTGGTATTGTATATCTGGGAAATGGGATCAACTCAATGTTGTTCAAATGGACCCAAAATAAAATGGGATGATGATGGGGGATCTGGGAAAACCCCCCTGAAATTTGAAACAAAAAAAAACAAATCCTATGACTAAACTACATATGGTGGTTGTTGATGTTGGTGGGTTTGACTGGTCGCGACCGGCGGCTGGTGGTTACCCCATCAAAAAATCTTGCTACTTTGTGGGGGACAAAATCGATACTGGATATGCTCTGATTGTGCTTAAATTTGGCTATGGAATAAAACTAATACTAAATTAAAATATATCGAAATCTGGAAACTCTACGACATTATTTTGCTAAATTCAATGGGGGTTTGAAATCTAAATTCAATGGGCCCTGGACCCACTTTTTTCCCCCATACTTAACAAAACCCTAAAAAATTCAATGGGCCTCATTGAATTTACCCCCCATGGGATAGAATTTGTGGAGGATGGCAGGGGCCTAGCACGACACGCTGTGCAGAGCTCCATGGCACCACCATTTTATAGATACTGAGAGATTGCTTCTACCCTGAAGATTGTTATTGTGAGAAGATGCTACTCGATGCCAACAACAGACTCGGGTACTTGTAGGGTTGTGAGCCGTTTAAAGTCGAATCTTAGCCCGATACTCATGGTTATCACATGGGGTATCGTGACTAATATGGAGGAGCTGTAAGGATCGGCGGATGCTACATCCTTTTTCCGGAATGAATTTCTTCTGCGTTAGTGAAAAACGTACTCTTATGATAACATACCCCGACGTATTCCCGAAAAAGAAAATATGGAAAATATGGAACCAAAACTGCAGCTCGAAAATGTGTAAATTATAAGTGGGAGTCAAGTGAGGAGAAATTGTTTCGTCAAGCCCCTCCTGGCGCTGTAAATCATATTGAATTAAACCTTCTAAATCTAATTAAGGCTTACCGTCGAAATATGACTGTAAAAGTATTGGCAAAGCCTCATGGAGCCAGCAATTGGATGAATAAATGCGGTATAGATTGCTGTAATGAATTTGGGCTCTCATTCGGTTTCGGGAAGAGAACAAAGCAATCGACTTTCACAAGCAATCAGTAGCAGATGAGTTGTGTCACAAATACATATTTCGAAATGTAAATACTTGGAGCAACCCGACTCCGTTTCCCAAACTACATAAAGCTTTATAGATCTGTTCATCCCAGTCCACATTAATTAGCTGCAAGATGCATTTTCCCGAGATCATCGTTACTACGCTGTCTTTTGCTGCCGTAGTCAACGGCTTGCCATCCCCTCAACAAGGTCGATAGGGCGATGCTGTCGAAGACATCGCGAAACGCCAGCAAGGCCGTTACAGCGATGCTGTCGAAGAATAAACGGCAGGACTTCCTGTGACTGGCTACGGAGCTGAGTCTTTCATTTCGTGGCTATTATTCTGGAACTATGTGCCCCGCACATTCTTTAGGGGAATGAGCAAACTGATGGGAAAGATACAACATTGCATTGTCTATCTACCAGGTGTCCGTATAGCTAGTCTGACCATTCGTTCAACACTCATGAATTATGGATCCAAATACAAGCAGAAGACATCAATTACGACTATAATGACAATAGACAACGATAAGTGGGCTTAATACCATTCCATGTAATCAGCTCCCAGGCATTAGCGGGGACTCTACACCCAACAGCAAGACTATCAAGGATGTGGATGCTTGTGTCGTCTGTCAATGTGATTGAACTAGAATCCATTAAATTTCGATGTAACTTAACGTGCTGCTTCACCGGCCGGTTCCTCTGATGTGGCGTGGCGATCATGGCCCGATATGAAATGTGTCAGCGGCCTGTGCTCTCTTGGCAAGCCAAACCTTGCGCTTGAAGAGGGACGGGCCGCGTTGGCAATCTTGTCGAAGATAGAGGCAAAATACCGCTAGCCCAAATATGCCAAAGGCATTAATCTGGTACTATTCGCGTATCTTCCTTATTCCGACACAATCTGTTAGAACGACGGATGGGTTGACAGTTGTGGGCAACACCCAACGGACTGTATGGGTGCGCGTGTAAATGTGGAGAGGTAGACGAGCATATTGATTCGAAGAAGCCAGGCAAACAGTATCAACTTCTGATCGGTAAATGAACACAAGCTATTGAAGAAGTGCGTAATTCCTACCTGCTGTCACTAACTGCAGAAGGCTGAGATAGTTACATACAGCCTGAGTTATACGGTGGGTGCTCATAATCTTATGACCACCCCCATTATTATATAATATTCTGCCCGCAAAAATCTGCCATTCCGCAATACTTAATACTATGGTAGGGCACGAGGTTTAGACGGTGAGGACGGTCAGCCCACAGTGCCTCGGGCTCTTTTAACACAAGATAACCTAGTGCTGAGAGGCCATGGTACGTGCTACCATATGGAGAAAGATGGGATGCAGGAGAGATTGTGGTCGGATGAAGCTATCTAGTGGTGCTATCTACTACATGTGGCGGTGGTGCGAGATGACTAAGGCATGGGAGCCCTAGCATTGCAGCGGTTCCCAATTATCTATTTAAATTGTGCCATCTTCCCCAATTCTCCTCCTGCTCCACCTCTCCTTGAAAAAGCCTGGTCTTCAATTTTTACAAACATACTGTTCGACTGGATTAGTTCTCCATGGAAGATTTGGTTGAAAGTTGTCCAGCAGATGGACCCCCTATCTTCAGGATCTCCATTACCCCGCTCTTTGATCATCAAGGCGCATCTTCTTTATCCATCCAACAAACCCTAGCTCGACCACGTTGTATTGCCCACGAGGCTCTTCTCTTATTTGAAACGCGTTATGGAAATGTTCCTGCCTATCAATTCGCCGAAGAAAATGTGTTAGCTTTCGATAACGACGGCCCCCTCCCCATTTACTTCACCAAGACCAGATTTGACTCACCTGACCAAGAATGGCGCGTGAAGCGCAGTACTTCTGGCAAAGTCACATTGTATTTCAAAGTCTTTCCTCGATGTGTTGATATCAAGACACCGATGGGCCCACGTGTCCACATGCGTCGCGACCAGGGAGGCCTCATCAGTGGTGGAAGATGGTTCCTCCCCCGTCCCGCAGCAGATCGAGTATGGCGTCATGTCGTCGAGTGGGATTTGTCGGAAGCACCATTGGACACACGTGCCATGTGGTCTTATGGTGAAGGCCCTGGGCCCATTTCCAGAGACGGGTACCCCATGACAGTTGCAAATTCGGTCTTCATGGTTGGACCAATCAAAAGTTACCCGAAGCCAGCATCTACTAAGCAACCACTTTCCGGCGCGAACATTAACTGGTTTGGGGAACTACCTGATAATATTCATTGTCTTAATCAATATAACGTCTCTTTTTTTCTCAAGTTATCCGCCTTTTTTCCGAGAGAAAAAGCCTCATACAGCATCTTTATTAGGCGGGTGATTAGGGGGGTATGGAGGAAGCGCGTCTCTGGAAAGCTATGTGTTTGAATATGATGATACGATCTGCAAATAAACAGAGGAAGAGCTTGTCTCTCTCTTTTCTCATGAGATGATCCACAGTTTCTCATTGATGGACCCCGAGGATGATGGATATGATAATGGGTGGTACGTTGAAGGTAAGTAAGCCTGTTGCCCATCTTCTGGCTTGTATCATACTCAAACTGCTCAATAGGCCTCGCAGAATTTTATTCCATATTTCTGCCTTATCGCTTCGGCCTTCGCGGTTTTGACTACCTCGTGGGCAGACTAAATGGGACATTACAAGCTTATGGTAGGAGCCCGCGAATCCATATGGACATAGTCGATTCCCAACGCAGTTTCTATGACGACTGGTACGCAGAGCTGATACCTTATATGCGCGGTTGCGTGTACCTTCTCCAGATCGATAGTTGCCTGAGAAAAGCCAGCGGTATATTTGGTTTCGACCAGATGAGTCCCTTGGACGACATTATTGTCGATATGGGTAAACGGTGGCAAAGAGGAGAAAAGCTTCAGTCTTGTGACTGGCTGGCGTACTTATGGCCGTACCTGGGAGACATGTCCCAAGGATTCCGAGAGATGCTTCGGGGCACAGCAATGGACTTGAAAGATGTCCTAGTAGCTCATGAAGACTGGATTTTGGCCACCTCAATGCAGGAAATTCTGGAGTTTGGGCTCGACAAGTCCAGTATCAATCAACGCATCGTATCTGGTCTCGTGCAAGGATCAAGAGCCGCCATTGCGGGGCTCAAAAATGGAGATAAGATCCTGTTGACGTCACGGGCAAGCTTTTGTGCGATATCATTGAGTGCGACTTTTCAAGTTTCTATCGAGAGAGCCTGTCAAAAAGTGCAAATCTCATATTGGCCGCGCTCATTCTCAAAGGCTCGGGTTTTTTACTTGACATGCTGACTGAGTGAGGAGCATCGCAAATGATGCAGGTCCCCTCAATTTTGAATTTGGCGTGCCAGCAAAACAAAAATCATATAGTATGAGCAATAAACGTAATCAAAAAATATCAGCTATCTTCATTCTATCTATTATCTTATCTTGCTCTACCTATTACCCGACCCAACCCCATAAATCAAAAAATACCTATTTGGACCTAACTTTATATAAAACATAAGTCTTAGGGTTCATGATACTAGGGACCCACTAAAATAAAATACTATTCTCGATTACTATTCTAGATTACTACAGCTATCTGTAATCTATATATTTTTATAGAAGAGTAGAAAATATTTTAGATATAGCTTTAATTCATAATTTTTATTTACTATTACTAATACTTCTTATACTTAACTTGATAATTTAATATCAGATCAAATTTTATTCTTACTACTACTCCACTGACTAACCTACTTTTCTCTAAACTCTAGTAGTTCTTTATCCCTAACTAGCAAACTATTATTATTACTATTCTCCTACTTAATATCTAGTGAAAGATGGGGATGCTCGCTGGCTGTCTGTCAAGCAGACGGGTCGATCACAAGAGGACAAAACTACCACACACAGAGTGCAGGAGAGAAGCAGACGAAGTGTGACACTATAGAGGGATAATGGAACAAAGAATAAAACCTTTCATGGGTAGTATATCGATACCGCAACCTCAGCAACCTTAGTAGAACATTTCATAAGGGGGAACATGTATTCTTGTTATTGATACTATCGAATAAACGCTACTTATCCTCTCGAAACAAAACAATAGCCTCGTTGCTAAGGCCTCAATCACATAACTCCGGGATGCCGATGTTGAGAGCGGAAATCCCCAATACAATAATTGATATTTAAAAAGTAGAAGTAATGGAAAATACTAGAATAAAATACTTAAAGTAATAATATATGCTTAGGGATTATATAATAAAACATACCTTTTTACAGAGATTCTAAAATAGGTCCAAAATTACTATATAACCTTCCTAATCATACCATAACAAAAGATTTCGAAGGTTTAAGATAATTTAGGGTTAATTTATATAATTCCAAGAGGAGAGAGGAGACTATAAACTTAAAGAATTATAATCATTAGAGATTTTATACTAACTTAGAACTTACCAAAATTTAGGAATAATCATATCAGGAAAATACTTTAGTCTACCCTGGAAAAACAGACTGCAGTCTACTCTGTGGGGCGAGTTCTGCTCATACTTAAGAACTTCTGACCGCCATACAGTCAGAGGGACTGACTGTACCAGGTCCCTTGGGTTAGGGACGCCCCTGAGGCGATATTTTACTGGATATGGTTGATCATAAGTCTAAAAAGAAAATATATAAGTTCTGAAAATGAGTACTTTGGCACTCCAGCCTTGATGGTTGTGTAACAGGAAATCATTTAATGGGAAGATATTTCCGCGTGGGATACTAATGCTCGTATATGGCTGCGTATTGCTGGAGACTGCAGAAAGTATGACCCTGGAACTGTAAGACACCGCTAGCGAATCAACCGTGACTAAGTGATTTGACGGTGATGTCGGAAACATAACGTCATTGTACCAACACGCATATGAGATCTGCAGATCTTCAGCCCTGTCGAGGTGGTGTATTTGGGATTCAGCCGAAGGTAAACGTCATTTACGTAACACGAAGAGAAGAATAATGCTTCTTCATATTGCTAGTGTTCTTATAAATCTCACAATATAGATGATCCACAACCTTACATAATATAATCCTAGATGGTTATGGTACAGCATACTTGCTGTTAGATCTGGCGACCCTAAAGCTTCAGAACGCGCAGCATGTGGAATGAAACTGTGTTATATCGTAGGGTAGGAATCAAGTCACAGAATGAAGAGGTTTTTTAGTTTTTCGGTATTATAAGGTGTGACAGCAATATAAATAATGATAAAAATTCTGCAATATTTACAGCGACTGTTACTAGCCGTTCTGCGTAGCTTAAAAATGTTCTGCATCTTTTATTCCCCATTGGGTATCGATGTCTTTTCTGGGACCCTAGAGAGTAGAGTCACCTCGTTCAGTGTTATTTACAATGATCAAACCCTTTTTTGGATCTCTCACCATCACACAGGGTAAATATCTAATTTGAAACACCCACCAAGTCTACCAAGGTTAGTAGCAAGCTTTCACTGCTTAGCTTCAGATCAGAATAATAAAACAATAGATCAACTTCACGCCATAAAATAAGTTACCTTCCAACGGAGATTATGCTACTATTATTATAAAGTTCCGACATTCAAACGCAGATATCGCTTCTACATACATTGCCGGGACTTATTGGGGTGTTCACACCTCGACACATGAGTATTCAAAATGAGGAATTTGATACAAGTCTACATATACTTACAGCAAGAACCGAGGAAGAGTTAACAGCCACTTTGCTTGCAAAGAAAGGAATATCTTCAGACCTGAAAATAAAGAAGGGTCGAACACCGCTCTCGCAAGCAGCTTGGTACGGAAACATATGTATGGCAAATTCTCTAGCAGAGCGAATTGATATCATAACAGATTCAACAGATCACCACAATCGAACTCCGTTGTCATAGGCAGCTGTATGTAGGCATGAAGAAATTGTGAGGCTGTTAGTAAAGCGTGATAATGTCAAAGTAAACTCAAGAGACGTTTACGGACAGACGCCCTTGGCATATTCAGCCTTCCAAGGACAAGCAAGAGTGGCTCTACTCGTGAAACGGAAAGAAGTTGACGCTAACTCGATGGATAAAAACGGGCGCACACATTTCTCACGGGCTACTGCGCGTGGGCACGAAGAAGTCGTTGAACTGTTTCTGGAGCGAAATAACGTCAAGGCGGACATAAAAGATGACTACGGTCGAACCGCACTAGCGTACGCAGCTTTTCAAGGGGAGGCGGGAGTCGTGGCTCTACTTGTGAAACGGAATGATATCGATGTCGACTCGACAGATAATAACGGCCGTAAATGTCTGTCATGGGCCGCCGCTAATCGGCACGGAAAAATCGTGAGATTAATATCAGAAGAAAAGCCATCGTTTCGCAGGTAAATGACTTCCAATATCGCTGTAATTGATTTAAATTCCATATAGGGCTAATGAAAGTCTACTTATCAAATTGAGACTAAATTACCAACTACACTGCGCTCATAACAAATGATTTATCGACGTCCCTTCACCATAAGGGCGATGCTCCAAGGCTCTTGGTGCTTGCATCGTCTGATTTGTTGGCAACATAGAATTTTCTAAGTCTTTGGATCACTAGTACCGTGACGAGAAAAATAAGATATTGTGAGTATGGTAAACTATGTTACTGAATATTAGAATGGAAGGTTGATATCCCGATGCTATTCCTAATGTAGATGATTGCACCAATTTCGGAACGCCTGTGTAGCATCTTGTAACGGAGTCAATTCTTGAACTCACGGAGCTAACAGCTATGATTGGAAATCAATCACAGGTTCCATAAGAGGTATTAACTGTCCAGTTCCTTATCTGAACCATAACAAGCAAACTTCCCTTAAAATATAACACGATTAATAGCTCCCGACTTCACCAAAACCTTCTGTGATCTGTCTAATTTTTGATTATTCCACTGGGCTATCTAGAAGAATTCTTGCAGGCTGTCCTCGCCTCTTAAGCTAACCTCGAGATGATTTGGCCCCAGTAGTAGTTCGAACACCCCATTATGACCACGTGAAGTTGCGCACGACAGGGGGGTTCGACCATAATGATCTCTTGAGTCCGCATTTACGTCGTCTCGCCCCAGTAGTAGCTTGACCACCGTCTCGTGTCCACGCCAAGCAGCACATGATAATGGCGTTCGGCCATAATGATCTCTCGAGTCCGCATTTACGTCGTCTCGTTCTAGCAGTAGCTTCACCACCGTATCATGTCCACGCCAACTAGCACAGGATAATGGAGTTCGGCCATAATGGTCTCTCGAGTCCGCATTTACGTCATCTCGATCCAGTAGTAGTTTCACCACCTTCTCATGTCCATACCAAGCTGCACATGACAGTGGTGTCTGTCCTTTCTTATTCTCCGAGTCTGCTTTGGTACCCTTTCTCACCAATAGTAGTTGTAATAGACCATCGTCTCCCTGTTCTGCGAGTAATTGTATGATTGTGTTTCCTTGTTCATCCTGAATAGCAAGGTGTCGGAATGTCAATAGATGGATAAGGTCAGGAAACGCACGAACAAGCGACAACTGGTCTAGAGGGTTAAGACTCTCGGCTATGAGTAGAATGACCTCTCTTGGAAGATAAATGCGCATTGGGACATTCCAATAGTGACAAGAAAAGAAAATGTACCAACTTGCTATGTTTTCGTCTCGTAAGATGGCAGTATATTTAACAGTGTTTCCATAGCACAGTACATGGATAAACACTCCGGTATGGCTCTTCACATATTGGCTCCAAATTGGCTTGTAGGGCATGGATATCTGTTAGCGGAACAACTGTTGTACAGATACGACACTGAGCTGCTGGGTATAGAATTTCAAGTAGCAGCCAATTAGGTTGATTTCGAGTATCTAAGCAAAATCTTTCTCATCATGAGGGTGATTCGAACTCCAATTTCTTAGGACAGAATAGGTTAAGGGCTTTCGCTGTCAAAACCTTTGGATATGATTTGGCAGGAAGAGTTTGAATAAAATAGGGGGAAAATCAACTGGGTTCATCAGAATCTCGATTCGTTTATGAGGGAAGTCAGTTTTCAACCATGGAAGTAAAAGACTACTTGAATCGTCACTCTCAAAGTTGCAGTGACCGTATTTCACCATGAAGAAATTCTACAATACCGACCGCAGTAAATCTCACACTTCGGATGTGGGAGATCTATCAAAGTCTATAGAATCTCCGTACGGCTCATAGGTCTTGTGATACACTATTTTCACTTTGTATGAACAAGCTCCGAGGAGGTCATCTTCTCCGAAGCGCGTGAAATTGTGAAACTATAGCCTAGTTTACCTATTGCTGTGGCACCTATCTCTCATACCATTTTTCTATATATACGCAATAATCTATCAACAACGATCTAACAATCCCGGAAAGTTAATCGAAGTAGAAGCACCAATATAGACTCAAGTGTTCTTACAGGGGCGAATTTATGAGCGTTTGAATGATCCATTGGAAAGAGAAAGGGAGCAGATGCGAAAAGAATAAATAATATTGAACCTGTTTCTTTCTTTTTAAACTTGTTTATTGGCAGATTATGACGCAAGATATTACAAATGAGACTGTATATCCGGGACGGATTCTCACTGCAGTAAATCCAGTATGAGTCCGACTGCTTCAACAGATGCAATCGAACTCACCTTTTATTGCCGACTGACATAGATCACAGATTTCATCCGTGGGCCTCCAAGTCTTAGACTTGGTAGCAGTAACCTTGGATCAGAATGTGCAGCTTATGCATGAAGCACCCTCCCTTATTCTGTCGGACGTTCAAACTCCCTATAAATGTGCGCTGCCACTTGAGCGACAACAGAGAAAAAGGAATTTCGCAATATCTGGAATAACTGGATAATACAATGACGATATTTTGCAGTCGGTGGACAGGGACTGAGGGAATACGGAGCTTTGTTTCCAGGGATATGTCATTGTACAAAAGATCGCAGGCGCGAACCCTGTAGCTGCTGAGATGTACGAAGATCCGGATCAGTCGAGCAACCGGCTCGGTCCTATTATTCCTAGAACCAACATCAGGGCTATTTTCTGCTACACTTTTCAGCAATTCTTCAGTGCATAGAGACTTTCCCAAAGAGCGCCTTGATGTAATACATCATATGAAACGCCGGAGATTTCTAAAATTTTTAAAACACAGGGTGTTAGGACTGGCCCTCAATTATCTGTTGTGCCCAGTCAGAGACAGATATGAAACTAGTTCAAGGTGGCAATTTGGCAAAGGTCACACTGGCTCAAAGTTTATGACTCTCTATCGCCAAGGATCTCTTTCCTTTTATACTGGCTCAAATCCCGCCAGGGTTGGAAATTTGCTTCTTGAATGTCCATCATTAGTTGCCTATCTCCATAAATTTATTGTGCCTTTCTGATAGACCGATTTCGATACCTGTGATATTATTACCCTAATGAAATTGTCTGATTGCAGAATGAGGCTCTGTTCTGTTTTCAAACACAACGACAGTTAATCTTTCAATACGCGATATAATCAATGGCCAGATTACAGCCGGCCATCGGGAGCTGTCGAATGTCAATCGCGAAACCAGCTTTCCGTACCCCGGTCTGATCCTAGATCTAACTCTCACTATGGGTCGTCCAGCTCCGGAGCAATCACCTCCTAAAGTGCTTTTGGTCTGGCGCTCAACGACATCGTGAATCTATAGCTTTATTTCCCTGAGAGTGTAAAAGAATTGTCTAACGGTCGCCTCATGGTACCATTCAAAAAATCAACGCTCAATCTGTATGCATTCCTGAACGCGCAAATAACCCAGCGCCTGCTTACAGGCTTTGAAATTGAAATTGAATTGATCGCAACCAATTCCGATGAAGCTACACAAGAAGACAAGGAGCTACAAGCAGTGGCAAAACGAAACAGCTGAAAAGGCTTCCGTGCGGATGCGCCAAGAGCCACAGCTGCTCAGCGACACCCATAACATCCGGTCATACTTCCCTGTACATCAAAAAGCATAGAGGTGGGTTGCAGGCGACTTTCCCAGTATGTAATAAGAATAGCATGACAGAACACAAATGGACACACTCTTGAGGCACTTCAGCTATATCCACGCCTAGAGATGGACATTATTGTCAATCGGGCTTTCACCACTCGACTACTATCAGGCTTACAATATGATAGCGAATCGGGCCGATAAAACTTGAGGATGCAGTGGTATGGTTTCTTAAATGAATGATAGTTGTGTGTCATCTTCAATATCATAAAAGAAAGATCGAGCAAAGTCCCCTCTTTCTGTATTGCAGCACTTTGATTTCTATTCAGACTGATACATATGGGAAAAGAATCACCAACAAAAATTCTACTCATTGAGAAAAGACCTTTTATCCATGCAAAATATACTGAAATATCAACTGCACAAACTCCCGAGAATAGAAGTATAGCCATGAATTCGAAGGCAAGACTTCTTAGCATTTAAGTTTAGAGACGATATATCGCATCACAGTATCACTGTGCCATATTAGTGATCCCGGGGCGGCAGGACTAGTGGGGTTCAATATGCAACTGCTTGGGACTACAACTTGATTCGTTCAGAGGTTATAGTATCAGCAAGCACATGTAGATGTCGATCTCGGCAGATTATGTTGTGACTCTGGACCCTCTTTCAAGCTAGTATGAAGGACTCACAGCAGTTAGTCTCCCTACAATTCAAAAAGTCGTCGGTCCCCTGTGTATCATTTTGACTAGAATTTAGCACCTCTGACCTTGTCATGGACAGTGAAATTTCTGTCGTATATACCAACACGACGATTGTCCGTAAATTTAGAACAGGCATTAGCTTCCGGCCACAGGCCCACTTTTCAGAAATATTCCTAGACTTTACAAAATCTCCGTAGTGCGAGCCGTGTAAAGATGACGTTTATGATGCCCAATCCTGAGTTTGATTGGGAATAAACCGGTGAGCCATTACATCTGTATCCCACAGGAGCTGTATGTGAAAGCCATAAACTGGTTGTTGTCTCTTTCGACCAAGGGAATCATACTCATTCATGTAGCCCAAATGTACCCTACTCTAAAGCTAGTAGCAGAAAGCAGGGCCGTTCAATAATGGAACTACATTCAACCACTTATTTCTGCCGGGGTTGTGTAAATTTGTAGCTTCGGCGTATTAAAGAGACATAAAAAGTCATTAATATCCTCTCAAATTAACCCAGCAGAGCAATTACGGAAACATCTATTGCACTTGGCACTGCATATCAATTTTCCACTGATTGACAAAATCACCATTTCCATGTGGTTCACACAGGCAGAACTCTTGTCAACAACGTAGAGGAAATCAGCAGACGGAGCACGTATGAAGAGAAATTCACTTAGTGGGTAGATCCCTGTGTTTCTTTGCGACAATGCGGCCTATTCCATTCAAATCACCTTTGAAGATTTGGGGTTCTAGTATGGCATCTAGATAGGCAAGACAACGGTCAATACTAATCTGCAATTATCACAGAATTGTAGAGCCAAATATAACCATGCCCAGCTGGAGGAACTCAGAACAACAAGCTCTATTAAAGATTTAAATAGGAAAACTTTGGCTCTGGTAATATTGCTTGCGGTCTAAGAAGGCAAATCGAATTAGAAAATGCTTTTGTATACTATCATCAGCACGCGGGGAGCTTGCCCGTTTATTTGAAACTTACATCATTCGATAGTTCTAGCTGGCATTAGACCCGAGATCCATAAAATATCAACTATTTGGAGGGTCCGTGACATAGATAGCACTCTAGTAACGGGCAGAATCAAGATACAAAGGGGGTTTTCAAGGCAGATATACTCTACATGACCATATCTCACCTCCTTTAGCTTCTGCTTAGATCCAAGAAGGGATAAATAGCAAAAGAGAAGATGTTTAAAGTCGATCCGAGATATTTTGCAATACTCAACATTTTAGATCGGACCTAATTCCATTATAAGTAGAATGATGTTTGGTTTCTGATGTCTTCACCCCAAACACTCCCGCTTTTCCAGGAAGGCCATCGTAAATATGAAAGTGTCCCAGTAGCCATATTGTTTGATTAATCATATTGCGCAATGTCTAGGTGCGGCAGCATAAGAAACATAGAGAAATCCTAGTGACCGCTCGATATATACTCTTCAAAAGGATAAATGAAGATGATGGCAAGGGGAGGAAGACCTCCTTGAACGGAGATTTATCTTTTGCTGATATTAATTATAAATTTCAAGATCAAGCTTTCCTGGTAGAATTACCTCCCATCTTCCTAATTTCTTGCAGACGCGAATCTTGTTACGGTAAGGAGGGTCTAACCGCCGAGGCGTAATATCGTGGAAAAACGCGAGTCCCGCAGCGAGACACGTGATGTAACATCCTACCGTCCTGGTCCTTCGTATATTTCTTAATTAAACACTGGGAGGTATAGTTGAAGATGCTAGAGCCTGCAAGCTTTTGGTGTTCAGAACTGGGCATAATGTGGAATCGTTGAGATATTATAGGTAATTACGTGACCTCGTTTTGCCGATATAAACACTAACATCGAGCTTGTGGTAGTACATGACCGACCATCAAATCCAGCAGCGCTACCCCACGATGCTTTTTTGAACAATCCTAATCATATGCTAGACGTATGTGTAAGTGCCTTTGTAACCGAAGGTCGCTAATTCCTCTCCCAGTGGTTTTGCGCTTTTTCTTGGGATCTGGTACGCCAGTAGTTGGAAATAGATGCGATGCTCTTTTTGGCTTTAGCCACAATGCTAATATGTATTTGGATTGTTCTGAAATATTTTCTTGCCAACAGGCGTCCTAATGGTTGAAGTTAACGCTCCCCGGCGGCGGTGAGAGCTTGCTCGAATAACACCGAAGCGGATTTACATAGAGCAGTTGTTAATCACCCCCGGGACTTCTCAAATACTAAAATATGCTTCCAAACCGGGATTATTATATTACCATACATGCTGTGGCCTTTAGAACGACGCCCATGGCAGGCGTCATGGAAAGTATGTTTGACATTACCCTCAGTCGGATCCGGCTGCGTTACGTCAGTATTGCGCTTTCAGCTTTGGATACACCTTCCATATTTACAAAGAAGCTAGCTTTATCATTAAATAATGTTTTAGTTCCTATTATTGCTCTTTGAGTAGAGGAAAAGGTACTTTTGCGACAATCGACGTCATGATGAAGTTCACTCAAGTAGACACACTCAAACACGATGTGGAGGCAGTTTTGCTGAATTTATACCCAGCTGTCACCGGAGCGCAAATTTTTGGCGTCTTCAAATTGTCTTTCCCGATACCCTACCAAATATCATAAATCACGCCAAGGCTGATCAAACCCTTTGAGCCTTCAAGTTCGTCAGACTTCCGGAGTACCACGAGGTCCTAGTAAAGACTTTCTAAGCTTCCAAAGCTTTGTGCTAGTAGGCCGAGCACCATGGAAATCGCTACTCAATCCAACATACAAGAGCTTGAGACTGAGGGAATAGTATACGAGGAGTCCGAAATGGCTCTATTTCTTGCAAAACTCTCATATTATTCCACAAGAGATGGATCTACGGCAGCCGTGAACGGGAACGTGAAATCGATTTCAGTACAGCAGGCAGAGATATTGAAGTCCTGGGAAAGAATTCAGCTATCTATCCAAATGATAATTGCGAGAGGACAGCGTCCTTCGCAGCTCCAGAAAGTCCAACTTGCCCAGTATCAGTGGAGGTTTCGCATCCTGGAAGGCCTTCTGAAAAACCAAGGAAAATCCCCAAATATTTGATCGACTAGTGCAGCTCACTGATATTACTCCTTTATCCGTCAATCTTAGTCCTTCCTAAATCTATCATTCAGCTCAATTTGAACTCTTTTCTAATCCTAGACACCAATGTCACAAATTTGAGAATCATATTGAGGCTACAAGGGCACAATTTATGCGTTCCCTGTCATTTCTATAAGTATATCTGCTTATGGGGCCTTTAACAATCAAATCCGACACTGATTATTGCTTTGAAGATTCCAAAAGTGGTGGATCTGAGTATATCTACTCGTCCGTCATTGTGGTCTAAGTTTAATACTTACTAGATTCATGGATATTTAACTACAAGTAACGCTTTTCTGATGATAAATTTGAAAATTGATGGTTATAAATGTGAATATCAAGATGAATCAAAGTGTGGGTTATATTACGGCAGTCAAAGAAGCTATCGAGTGCTCTCTAGACATAATCCTCTCTATCGCTTCACGTCCGACGTTGTGGTCGAATAGTAATGAAGCCCTATCATGGGAATAAATCAAGGGCTCGGCAATTGACTAAATAAATGCGTCAATTTGCAACAGTAGGAATTACCAAAATTCCAAATTCTAGGATTCTAGAATTCTGCTCGGAAATATCTCATGTTATGAATTCTAAAACATATATTGCTATAGATACCATATCTGCGCAGATACTGCCAAATTCAATCCATCAGGGATTTTTATCATCCTAGAGATGTTACCAACTGCTTTTTAAAAACTTACTAGGTTGGCATTGTTGGGATTGAAAACAGCCTTTGTCTATCGTCTGCCTCATCGATCCTGCCACAGAAAAGCTCATTGGCTATCTATGGTGCCTGGAATGTAACATAAACGCACGTAGAAAGGGGTTGAACAGCATTTCAGCGAGGATATACTGGCTCTGGCAATCGAAATATCACATTAAAGTGCGCGATTATGTTCGGATCCATTGCCGGTCCGCCGCTGTGAAACAGTGAAAATACCATGCGCATAGAATTAGTGTACCTCTCAAAACAAGAAATACGAAACGTTTTTCCGCAGGTGGCACACTCCTTCAACTGGATACTACATTAGATGTGTCTATGAATAAGGAGCTTGGTATGCTGATTAGGACGGTAATCATGCATATAAACACTAGATTTGGAATGGCCGGGTAAAGTCTCGTAGAGATTTGTCGAAATTATCGTGGCTGTTGTAAGTGTAACATGCTGGAGGTTGTGTCTATGACTTGGAACGACATATAGGCTTTCAGATTCTCGAGTTTCCTGGTTGAAGTATATATTCAACACCAATATGTAGCTTGTTGGTAGAATTCATCTTTCGTTCATCTTGCCATGGGTCTGTCGTGGTATGTGATACACCTGACTTTCTATTAACAGTGTTTTAGCTGGACATGTATTTCCTCTTGTTGATTTACTTCGCTACCTTGCAAAAGATGGTAGTAATTTTAAGATAATGTAGTACATGTATTTTCCATGCCCCTTGAAGAGTTTACTAAAGACACTGAAACTAAAATGCAAGAGCTTGCCTTGCATAACTTGCCATCTACCACAGTCTAGCAGGCTATATCTTTCGATAAATAATTCCAAATCGATTTGGGGGCTTTTAGAGACGGAAAGAAAAATCTCAATGATCTCTCAATCCCAGCCATCATCACGCGCCTATCCTACAGCAGCATCCATCGACTCTTAGAGCCATGTTATTGCAAGATTCAAACACGCAGCGACTGAAGCTGGTCAGGCCATCATTACAGAAACTGTGAGAATTTCTGTCAATATTGTGAGCATAAACCAATTCATATTCTTGGTTCAGTTCAAAGCTTCGTTATAATGATCGTTTTGCGTGATGAATCTGCGAATCCTCTTGTCGTCCAGATCGGTGGTCAAAGCTTCCATGGGTTTATGAGCTTTGTTTCACAACAGCTATTAAAACGAAAACCCTTCCAGACATCCTAACGGGTGACCAGGCGGAATTTCTGTTGAATAATGTTTGTAACCTCATCGCGGATGATCTTGACGTACTGCCTTTGGCTATTTCAACGGCTATTTTGTGAGTTTCGTCGCTTCTGGTGCGCTTTCCACAAGCTGCAAGCCCAGAAGAGGATATTAATCACTGAGCTTGAGCTAGAGGACAAGGACGTTAAAGCACTGATTGATAGTGGAAAAACACTCCAATCACCCGAATTAGCAACCGTGGCAAGTCTCCCGTAGCAGAGAAAATTTCTGCTAGTACTGCCATGGTCGGCTAATGGCTCCTGATATCTCCTATCGTTTGGCGCTGCAATGATCAAGCGGCGGCACTGGATACTTTCAAGGCTTTGTTCTGATCCAGGTGCAGCTAGGCTCCATGAAAGAATGACCTTGGAATTTTACTGTACAAGATAAATAGTTTTCGACAACTCTATGATGGTCATCAACTCACATCACGGCCCCCTTGCATGACTTGATGCAGCCTCTTGGTGCACACTATGTCACTTTGTGACTAGGAGATGAAAGAAAGATTATGTGAAAATTTAAATTCACACAAAGTCTTTGCTGATACTAGATTTCTTTCCATGCAAAGAATGAGCTCCATTATTGCCCTCACGACGTCAGGAAGGATTTTAGTCAGTTACGGTACTCTCTTGGGCTAAAGATCATATCTGTGATAATAAATATGCTTTTAGCGACCGGCGCTAACTACTTCCTCGTTTTTTTCTCTAGGGGCCACGGGGCAGAGATCAAGTGGGGCGGTAATCTTTGCTCTATAAAGAAGCAAAGGGAGACAATGGGCTACTCAGGGCCCCGCAGCATCTTCACAGCACGACGAGAGGCAATACTAGGCCATTCTAGTGTCTGTTCGAGAGCTCATATGGAGACAGCGATCATTGTGCGTTTATTTGCAGAAGAGGTCTCAATGGAGTCTACGCCCAATGGGAAAACTCGCTTAACGTTGACCGAGTCGGATCAGACCATTGAATTTCTGGTGCATGTCATCAATATTCTTTTCATTTGATGAAAAACAACAGTGAACAGAACTTGATTTATTTCACGAGGGAGGGACTAGTTTCCGTCAGGGAATGAGCCGTCGGGAGTGTGATTAGTACTCACTAGTAGCTGTCTCATTCCAACGAGCGGAATGTTTCACCAATTGCCACAAGATTCATTTGTTGTCAGAGGATTTTAAAATTGTGGAATAGTCGACCACGGGTATTTTTGGGGCGATTAAGCAAGTATTGGCATTGCCAAGTTGGCTGGTCCAAGCTAATAAAGGTAATGTAATTGCGACAAGGGCATGCTCTAGGTAGATTGAGTCAACTTCCAATTGACTCGTCATCGACTTCCCGACCATCCAGAGTGAGATCTCACGAATCTGCAGTCTATGAAGACAGCTAGTATTGTCCTTATTTAATACAATACACTTCATTGAGCCACATAGCTCAATGACCATTACGGAATAGCTAAAATGAGGTAGCTACTTTTATCTACCTAGGTAGGGGATGGGTCTCCAGTGAGAGATCATTACATAGCAGAGAGACAAGTAACTCTAAAATGACTTGTTGCAGAATACAACTAGGAAATTTAGTATCTCTGATCGAGGCTATTAGGCCATCCATCCGAAGTACCGGCAGAACTAGTTAATCAATAAGCCATGCACCTCATACGCGCAAATTGATGATCAGACAAAGGGTTCACGTTGCAGATAGTGTAGATCAAGAATTCTCTACATACCGATCAACACAAGCTCTGCTCGGAAATTTCCCTCAACGTCACAATGTTGGCGTGAAACTTGAAAATATCTCGACAGGGGGCCTCTTGTTTGCCAGGGATTTGATGAGCCGCCCTTAAACAAGTAATTCCTCTGGCATATTTTATCTCTCGTTGAGAGTAACAACTCTACCGTCTCAAGTCTCCTACAGGCTGTGACTGATGAACAGTGGATTTACATATTTAGCTTTTTGTTTCGTACTTCTTATCCCTGTTACTGTGGTGGTCGGGGGTGGTACGCAATTCACCTGACTTTGTTAGTGCCTCAAGCTCTGGTAATATGTAACGCCAATTTCTCCGGACTTCCGTATCAAGGAGATGGTCACACCGTACCCTAGTATGTGGTTGCATCTGTCAGTGAGAATCACACTCTCTCCCTGGAGGCTTTCACTGGGGTTTTGAGCGATTTAGTTTATCAACAGTAACACAAACCCGGAGGGTTTTCAAATCGTACTCAATAGCACACCTTACGAATATTTCGCTCAATTCATGCTTTCCTCGGAGTAACCTTTTACATGGTAACCTCCTGACATCTCATATCGAGATATGTTTGAGTTAAATTCAAACCTTCCATCATACCTTCCTCCTAATCCTTGTTTGCTTGGCAATCAGGGATCGAAGCTTCAAAGGTGTTTTCGTTTCCAAGTATGAGAAATAACTGCTATATTGCCCGGGGAATTGGAATCGAATCAAAATCGAGTGTGAAGTATTTATTAGAGGTCCCAGGTTTAAGCGATCTACTCATTTATATGCCATGATATTGTCATCGCAATTGCTAGCGAGGGTGAAGTTGAAATTTATGACAGATCGGACTGAAACTCCCAGTTCAACCACACACTGCGCAACCAGGCTTCTAAATAAGAATACCAGAGAGATGAGGGCTCCACATAATAGACCTCGTAAGTCCCTTCAATACAGGTACATGATGTAGACGTAGGAAACACTGTTTAATGTTTGCGATCACAAGCACTATCCTTCTCTACTCTTGCTACTGACCTAGATCAGTGGTCCATCCTCTCATAGAAATCAGTGAATCTGAGCGTGTTTACTCCGTCACATACAACTTGTCAATTAGATCAATATACACATCAGGGCTTTCATATACGGAGGAGCCGAGGAAAATACCTTAATTGAATTGATAATTATAATTCATACACTTGGGACCAATTTGCTTTCATTATGACATATTTTTTTCATAAAAGATCTAGCCATTCAGCCGCGTAATCATCTTAGAAGATTCCGGGGTTCTTTCTCTATCGCT